CCTCGAAGCCAGATTGTGTATTTTTTCAAAATAGTCTAGAGCAGTAGTTTACTGCCTTTCATGGACATTGGCTGCTTATTTCCAGTCCAGTCCTTGTATCTGACCATTCTGAGAGGAATAAGGGTTTTTCTGTGTGTTTGTTTTTCGTGTTAAGTCTTTTAACAATGACTTATGAATCATTCATGCATAAAAAAGGCAGCCACCTTAAGGGATGAACCAGCGTTGTGTCTACACATGACAGACCTCTTAGCAAAGAACCAATTTTAAGTTGTATCTTCAGGTGCTTCGTTACTAACAGCCTGTTGCAAAAAGTGGTAATTTGTTCCAATTTCTTTAGCTGAATCTATGAAAAATTACAAAGATAACACAGTTTGACAGCCATAACATAATATTTTGTACTAACAGGTTATTTCTAAAAAAGCTATTAGCTGAATGTTTGGCATAACAGTATCTGAAAGTCATGTTCTGGAGAAATAGGGGGAAAAAAGATCATAGACCTGGCACAGGAACTGAGAGATGTATCTGGCCCTTCAGTTGATCCATCTAGTGTTCACTGAAGCCAGTGAACAGAAATGGTCTCAGTGGGAGGGTGGCTATCAAGAAGCCATTCTTAGGGTAGGGAGAAAAGGTTGAGATGTGCAAAATTGCACAAGAACTTGACTGAAAATCAGTGGCAACAGGTCTTACGAAGTAATGAATCGAAATTTGAAATGAGAGGTTAAATTGTCATCAATTTGTACAGAAGGGGTCAGGGGAGAGATAAAACAGTGAGAGTCTGGAATCATCTGTAAAACATAGTGTGGGCTCTCTCGTGGTTTAGGGCAGCATTTCAGCCAGTGGTGTTGGAAATCTTGTCCAGATTGACGGAATTATGAACAAAAAGTACCATCGGATTTTGAACCATGCAATACCACTAGGAAAGCATCTGTCTGACAATGGCTTCATTCTTCGCCATGTCCCTAAACACACTGTCAATGCAGAAAAAGCATACGTGCATTAAAAAAAACACACACAAAGGAACACCATTAGTCATGGATTTGTCTCCCCAGAGGTTCAAGAAGCCTGCAGAACTATTCCTACAGATGACTTTAAGACAAGAAATCTTGCCTAAGAGAGCTCAGGCTGTGCCTGATCATACCAAATATTGACTTTCAAGCTCATAACATACTCCTGTGTTAAACTGTCCACAAATGTTCGCTTGTTGTTGCATCCTTCGACGTTTGAGCACAATAAAATTGGGTATTTAGATTATTTATTTTTATATTGATGCAGCCCTTTAATGAGCCCTCTCCTCTGATGGATAAACAGCTTGCTTGTAATGGAAAAAAAAGCTCAAGTTAAAAGGGGTTGGACATTTCATTTTACAGCATTCACATCCAAAATTAGAGTGGACTGCGGTCAATTGTCCACAGCGTTGCAGAGGTGAGGCAGGTGAGGCTGAGGCACCCAGCAGTGCGTCTGCACCCAGCAAGGGCAGTCTTAATGAATAGCGAGATAAATGATAAATGTGGCCATATGGTGGAGCCGGCTGGCCAAGACAGGGGTGCTAGCAAGCTAAACACGCACACATTCACACATCCTCAAATATCTCGCTTGTTAATCCGTACCTAGAATTGAAGAGCCATCAAACTGCATAACTCAAGATAGCAGCAGGTAGGGGTTAAGGACCTCTAGGCTCTTTGGATAGATGGGGGCGTTACGGCCGACTGTGAAATCATCACCGCACTTCCTGTCAAAAAGTTTTACAGAAATTCGAGCGAGGACACAAACTGACTGCGCGTGAGGCAGACTGTCACTCAGCAACAGTGACTTTTTAATTACAAGCATTGTATGTGCCTCACTCATAAATGCAGGAAGTCTTCTCAATTTATATGTGCTTCTCTGGTGATTTGCTGTGTGTGTGTGTGTGTGTGTGTGTGTGTGTGTGTGTGTGTGTATCTGTGTTGATGAAGCCATATGCTGTCTGTCATACTTTGTAGGCAGTCACTTTCTTGTTTCCTCTCGTCTGCTGTATACAATACTCCTCTCTCATTACTATTCAGCACACCACATGCTCATATAGTGTAGCTACACAAACACACACACGCACTAACTAGCCTACAGATACACCCACACAAACTTTATTCACACACATAAACTCAAACACAGTGAACAAGCCATTGTTCTCCTTTCACAGCAGATGCTATCTCTCTCTAATTGGCTCAGCAAAAACAAAGGAAAGGCCTTGGATGCCCCGCTGCAGCTATGCTCTTCCAGTCTACAGGGATGTCCTCTGCTGGACCAACACACATACAGGGTCCTTGGATATGGCTGACCTCTGCGCTGTGTAAAGAAGGCCGGTTTCTGATTACATGGCACAGTTTCAGGGTCTGCGATGAATCAGTAAGCAGGCAAGTACACTTCAGTTCAGTGCACTTTTGAAACACAATATGAAAACACCCCGTGGGTTGGCATGAATGCTCCAAACAATCGAGGTCCCCTGAACGCTACGTGCAAATGGCGATTTGGAGGCTGAGCATCACATCACAGAATACGCAATGTTTGGTCAAGCCATTTTCTCATCAAGTGTGTTTGTCAAAATCCAGAACTCCTGCTCAGATCTCGCCCCCAAAAAGTTTACACCAGTTCTGCCAGTGCAGCTTCACACATAGCTGATGGGCGATAAGCCTTCACTGCATGCAATCCACAGCTGTCAAACTTCCTCAGTGTTGTGAAACACAGAGAGAGAAAAGAATATGCGGGGTAAGTGTTGGTGCAGTTTAGTTCAGCACTGTGAAATATGACTGTACTGCTGCTATCATAGATCTTAACTTTAACTGCAGTAGTGCAGTGGTACTTGATGGGGTGTTATATAGCAGAGAAAAAGATCAGAGAGAGTCTACTGTGACCTACCATCCACACACGTTTCACTGGTGATTAATAATAGGTGAAATTGTTCTTTTTCGCCAAGAGACAAAGATGAATGTATTCTGCATGCCTTACTCTCTACTATTTCTATATCAGGCATAAAGACTGTAAAAGACAACTGATCAAGGGCCCAGCCTTCAGGCACATTACCTCCACAGATGCTGCCATTCGCTGTAATCACTCGAGTGCCTAACGCACGGGGACAAATGACATAAAATCACAAGAAACGGCATCCCCTTCTGGCAGAAAGTGTGCATAGCAGGCAACTGCTGTTGGTTCAGACCTCGTGGTTTCATCAGTGCAGATTTATTGAGAGCAGATGTTTATATGAAAAACAGACATGAGAAGATCAGCCGACAACAAACCGCAACTGCAATCAAAAAGACACGGAGCAATAAAGCACCATGGCTCCTTTACAAGACGTTTTAAAGAGGGGGCTGCAGCAGCTGCAGCAACAGTTTGAAGAGGTTCAAAGTCCCGAGAGTTAGAAAAAATTATTAAGGACCACACAACTGATTAATACTTGTGTTCTCCTGGTCTGGTATGTTTCCCCATTCTTTTTGCTGTTGTTGTTTGTTTTCCCACCAATTACGTGGGCTGAAACATAAATAATTCATGCAGCACTTAAGGATGAAAACACAAGACTGATAAACAACAAAGCAACTTCAGTCATCACTAATTCAGCATCTGCTAAATGCTTTTTCACCACTTCTTATGCCACTCAGTCTGATTACAGGATGCTTTCGTTAGCATGTCTGCGCATCGCATGTCCAAACAATCCACGATTCGATTCTGTCTTCTATTCCTCTCTCTAGCTTCAGTTGCTAATTTTAATTCAAGCTTTCTTCATGTTCCAGTGACTAATACAGCTTACAATCAAATGTAGAGCTAATTAGATTTTTCAAGTGACCATTATTTCTATAACATGTTGTCATAGAGCTGGTGCTTGCAAACATATCCCGAGTGCTCCAAACGAGGACTTAATTTGGGCACTGAACTAGCACATGCATAATAATGACCTTATTTGCATATATTATGTCAGTCTGTTTAGTATGTTAATGCTTGGTAAACTTCTGGGCTTAATCGTTCATCTGACATTCTAATTGGGAGTTTGTGAATTGGTTACATTGATGCTCTGACACTTTTTATTCTTCTGCCAGGTCTTGTTGGTTCACGTCGCAGCCAAACAGCCCAGGGGTGGGCAATCTCAGTCCACGAGGGCCGGTGTCCCTGCAGGTTTTAGATCTCACCTTGGGTCAACACACCTGAATCACATGATTAGTTTGTTACCAGGTCTCTGGAGAACTTCAGGACATGTTGAGGAGCTAATTTAGCCATTTAAATCAGCTGTGTTGGTTCGAGGACACATCTAAAACCTGCAGGGACACCAGCCCTCGTGGACTGAGATTGCCCACCCCTGCTCTAGTCCTTCTCGACCACGCACAGAGCAATGGTTTCACCAGCTTCAGAATATATTTGACAAACTGACGATTTTCATGTTTAATTCAATGTCAGCAAAGTGATGATGCTTCTTTTGAAAGAAGTTACGAGGCCGGACTGCAATCCTAAAGCCCTCGACATTTTAGGGGATTTGACAAGATAATAAATGGCTGAAGCGTATTGTTCTGCAGGACACTGCGCTCTGGTTTGTCTGACGCAGTACGGTCAAACAATATATAATGACCTGAGCTGTAACCTCATTTGCTTCTGCAAGAATACTAAGGCAACTGTAAGGTAAAACATAGATGACACTAATATTTAAGAATAACCAAGTGAATAAACTAATTTTAACAATTATCTTTACAGCCCTTTCCCTTTTGAAATGAATACAATGATGTTAATACGTCTTGATGCATTCTCAATCATCCAGGAAAATAAATCTCCAAAAGTTGATTCTGTTCATCTGGACGTAGCGTTTTCTGGGAGAAACGTTTCGTCACTCATCCAAGTGACTTCTTCAGTCTCAGCTGAATGATGTTAATATATATTTTAAATTATTACAGACAAAAAGTAGTAAAACAAGTCATCATAAATGTTTGTAAATACTAGTTTCACCATGGATTAAAAACACACAAAAATATGACTCTTAGATGTCCAAGAAAGGCAATGTAATATTTTATTTATAATACAGTACTTTGTTAAGCCAGCTGTACTAGTAAGTACAGTGAGCTATGAAACTTCACTATAATAAAAGCACTCACGAGCTACACTACAGTATAAACAGGAAAGACACTGAACAGCCTAAAAGCTCCGTGTAATCAGAGAGCAGACCATGTCCTCCCCTCAGCTCTCATTCACAGCGTGTTGTTGCATACCGGGGAATATGTCCAGCACTATAATTAAATGCACCACAGTTGAATACAACAAGCAGACGAACTACTAATAAAAGATATTTTTTAAAAACCAACAAGAAATGGAAATTTTTAGTCTTACAGAAAATATTTATAAACACTTTTCCTTAAAATAGTAAGTATTCTTTATACCAGATCATATATATATGGCTTCAGAGATATATATAAGAGTAAACATGTGTTATTCTGTTTTTTTTCCTCTACTGCTGTCAGTCATGCGACCTTGATCAGCCTGCATAATGGACTCACAAAGTTGGAAGTCAGTCACGTGTCACCCTGGCATCCTCCTGCAGCAGCCTGTGAACTCAGCCTCTTCAGCTCCTGCCTGCTTGCTGCACTCTCAAACCTGAAGCCCTCTATGACCAAGGTCTCTCCGTCCTCCTCTATGCTGGCCCGACACTCCTGCTGATTCTGTCACAACAACAACAACATGCACACTAGGCTGTGCTGTGCACACTATGCCTCAGCACATAAAATAATAACAAGGTCATTTGTGCATCCTTTGTGCTTTGTTAACAGCTGCAATAGACAGAAGCTGCGCATTCATTTGTGTGTTTTCTAGTGTGTGTGTGTGCGTGCGTACACACACTATTATATCTGTCCTGTGAGAAAAATTATTTATAGGGAGTCCTCTCTCCTGCTAATTGGGTTCTAGAGGTAGAAACCTGGAGCTCAATTTTTATTTTTGTGAGACTGAACAGTCTCTCATGGATCGCTGGTTGTCTTGTTTCCTGAAACGATTGGGCCAATCGTTACATTTGTAGGTGGGGCTGAGGCTGGCAACACGTGCAGATGAAATTGATGCAGCTGTCAAGGCTGCTGTAAATCTACTCACTGAAATAACAGCTCCTAAATCAGAGCAACATGCATTAAAGATATTATGGTTTAGCAAATAGAATTCTTTTTATGATTCTGCCAGGTGGTTCTGGCAAAAAGTTTTTTTTATCCGTCACCCACTGTGGCACTTTGGGAAAGAGGTCAGGAGGGTCTAGTCTAGTGCTTAGAGTGCATTGTTCAATCATGCTCATGATGGAAGACAATGTAAGAGATGTCCAGAGGCTAAGCCTAAAGTGAAACTAAATGGACTGAAACGGTTAACGTCTGTGTCAAATATATTTTATAGTAATGGCAATTCAGATTTACTTTGCATATCCTTTTCTTGCAGCTAAGAAGGGAAATTAACTGGGTTGCTATGCAACTGTAGGGAACTTATAACCTGACCACTTCTGACCTTGTTATAGCAGAAGTATAGTAACAGCTTCATTAAGTACGATAGAGACAGGATTAAATTAATTAAACGAATAAACCCATTTAAAAACAGAAAGACAGCGGGTTAGAAACAAAGAAGACAAACATTATGTAAACTCAGCCGGGTAAGTTCCCTCGAAGGAGTATGGTTGAGATTTGACAAATAAAAATACTTGATTCTGGGCTGACTGTGGTCTGCAGCACAGTCACGTGGTTCACTGTAAACATACCATTCTTTGATGTCTCTGGTTGGAGAGATCTAACGAGGCACACCAATTCATCATCTCTTCAATGTCTCTCATAAGTAACTGAGCTTCTGACAACACTGTAATGACATTGATGCAAATACTCAATAATAGATACCACTACTAATACCCACAATGCTTTTACTAGTTGATTTTTAACAATTTCACTTCGGAAGTCTTTCTAGTCTTACTGACCACTCAGAGCACTTTAGACTACAAGCCACATTTAATCATACAATCATGCAATGCTCTCTGTTCTGTACACTTTAAGCATATTATCTGCCATTCATCTCTGTCTAATTTAGGCTCATCAATTAACCTGATACACAAGTCTTTGAACTGTGGGAGCAAGTTGGAGTATGTGAGGAAACCCACCCAGGAATAGGGATAACATTCAAACGCCACAAAGAAAAAAATATGTAACTGTGTTAGCCTCAAATAAATCCTGATCTCATGGACAGCAAAGAAATCTTTATTTCAATCTAGTGGCCTGTAATAAAGAGAACTCTAATTGTGAGATGTATTTATGATACCACCACCACTGACGCAGTTACAAATAGCACTTGTGTTGCATTATGACAGTTAAACGAATCTTGTGAACATTTTCTTCTTCAAATCACAAAAAAAACAAATCTAAACGGATGGTTTTTTTTTTAAAAGCGAGTAAAAAATACTGCTAATATATGCAATTGCTGGGCTTACGCTGACGTGTCTTTGCCATGGAGATCTCAGATTTCTCTTCACATGTCATGTCAGTGATCTTTGCAGCTTCTCTTACACTGCAAAAGACAACATAGCAGTTTTAATACATCTGTGATACAACTGAGCTGATACAGTGAACAGAGAAAAATATACACCTTAATAGTTAATAGGATAATGCACAGTGGAGTATGCCCAACATCAGAAATCATGAAACCAAACTATCAGTTAGAAATAAATAAATAAATGGACTGGTACTTAAACAGCACCTTTCTACTCAGTTGAACACTTCAAGTACTACTGCAAGTCTCATCCACCTAATCACTCACACATTCGTACAGCAATTTTATATATGCCTAAGCACTTTATAACATTCACAAACACACTCTGATCGATGAATCAGAGGTAACTTGGGGTTCAGTATCTTGCCCAAGGATACTTCAGCATGTGGGCTACAGAAATCAGGAATTGAGCAATCAGCTTTCCAACTGATAGATGGTGCGCTCTACCATCTGAGCCACAGCTGCCCATACAATATGTTGATCAAATTCTTATTTTAATCAAACACGCACGTTTCCATACTGCAGCCTACACGTATACTGCTACTAGCTTTAGATAAATCTCATGAGGGATAAAATCATTGCTTCTCTCACTTTCCATAAAGCATTTTCAATGTTTACTATGGACCTATTTAAGGTTAAAACCTCTTGATCAGCTTAGCTTAGTCTTTCGGTATGCAGACTGACTAGATCTACTGCTTTAAAAGTATCATGTGAACGGATTATGAATATCAACCTGTTAAGGCTTGTTATGTAAAACTTTTAATTAGCTGCACTAAACCTATAGAGAATGACTAAGATTTAAGATACCTTCAGGACTACACCATCAAGTTACCATCAAGTTACCATCAACTGCACTGACAAAATACAAACATCAGTAAGGACGGGCTGCTAGGCATTAGGGAATTGCTTTTTACTAGGTTAACTGCTTGTAAAGGCATCACTTTATAAAGAAGTAAATATCGCTAATTAAAAGAAACACCCACATATAAAAAACATATTGTATGTCACAAACGAAAACTTAACAAAAGGTTATCAAGAAGCTGAGCAATAAGCTAATGGTAAGTGCTACATTAGCGCTAGCAGCTAATCAGTTTTAGGTACTGTGACAAAAAAAAATGAACCAAACCTGTGTTTTTGTTAACATTAAATATTTATTATTAGTATTATAATATTATATGTAATATAATATATGTAAAAGTATTATATTTTCTTGCTTACCCGTTATATTTGGGAATTGTCACTGGAAGATAATCCTAATTTAGGCAAGTGGCAACTAAGGGATACCACAGTATAATGCGCAAAACTGATTTCTATACTGTCATTGGTTTGTCCCTTACTCGACCTTAAATGCCCCGTATATTGACCGTTACCTGCAATGTCACTTTCTGACCAACAGATGACACTCTTACAAATACCAAATCTGATTTGACCGCAATCGTACTTCGCGCATACAAGTGTGGAGTAATACGTGATTAGTGAAAATAAGAGGTCGTTTGTTTGGTCTGCGTAGTAGAATAAGCTGGGTAAATGAAGACTGTATTTACAGTATTTGTTTCCTTTTTGCTTATTTTTCAAAGGAAATGCCCTTGTGACTTCTGTTATCATTTACTGTATTTGTCTTTATTGTTTTACATAAGGTATTGATTAAACTGAAAACCAACATTTTACAGTATTTTTGTTATAAGATTATGGATGAACAGTGCATATTTACGCTATGTCCAGCTGACTGTGCATTGTGCTATTTGATAGTTAAAGATTCGGCAACCCTAGCTATAACACTCGTGCTACTCGTGAAATAATTGCCTGTTCACTATTACCTTTAAACATGGTTCAGGGCATTACTTGTTTTCTTGCCTGTTTCTTAAGTCATTCTTTAGCTTAACAAGTAGTGCCTGTACTCTTTTGTCCCTTTAACACAAAAACACACACAATAGAGAGCTAATTTTTAAGCAATATAAGGACCACAAGTAAAAATATGTGCCAAGTTTTAGCTTTATCTATTAATATAGTGCCATGAAAAATATACACACACTACCTGATTTCTTTCTTTCCTTTTTTGACATATCTGTGACACTTACCTGTTTCAGATTATATATATTGCATATTACAGCAAAAGTTACCTGGAACAAATACAAACCACATTTTTTAAAGAGTGGTTTTTACAGAAGAGGATTAGAGCCACTGAGGGAAAAAGTGGGCAGGTCTTTTTTTCTTCTTTTCCAAAATTCTGCGGAAAAAAAGTCAGAATTCTAATAAAAAGGTTAAAATTCTGAGATTAAAGTCAGAATTCTGAGAAAAAAGTCAGCATTAAAAAAAAAAGTCAGAATTCTGAGAAAAACTAATTCTGGGGAAAAAGTCAGCATTCTGAGAAAAATTCTGACTTTAATCTCAGCAATTTTTTTAGATTAAAGTGTGTGTGTACATGCACAGACCACATGTGCATACTGTTGTACACATAAACTCACAGATGTATATGACAACTCAAGTTTGTGGCATTAAATTTGTATTCAATTTTTAAACACTTAATACATTTGTACTTGAGCATCAGCACATGAACTGATGGACAGACATTCTTCTTCGGGATTTTCTGGTAGAGAACAGAATTCATGCTTCCATTAATTACAGCAAGATCCCTAGGTCCTCAAGCAGCAAAGCACCTCTAGACCAAGCCCTAAATCTCAGTTTTTCAGATACTTGCAGCAAATACTTCATCATTTGCTGCTGGAGATTTTAGCTGGGGAGATGAAGTGCCTTCTGCCCTAAACTGTGACATGTGATATGTTTAGAGTTGCAGCATTTGGGGAAGGGGGGGGGGTCATATGAGAAACCTACAAGGTTGGAAATATAGAACATGGAGCAAATATTTATATTTTTATGCCAGAATTCATGAAGCGTGTGCTATGCATATACTGAGAAAGGGATAATGGGAGCTATGGTGATCGTAACAGTGTGTGAGAAAGTGCACACGCTCTTTAAGACTGTGCTTTTATTTTGAAAGGACTTAAGCAGCGGAGTGACTCCCGGAAGTTTTTGTTTTTCTCACCTGTCAGTTCGGTCGAGACACGGCACCAGTGCCGAGCCTTGTCTCTTTGTTTTCTCCTTGAAACAGCTCTTGTTTTTTCCAAATTAAATGACAGTCCTATGTGGTCAGTCGATACCTAACTGAGGACAGCGTTTAACACGGTAACTGAAAGTCGAGAATAAAAAATAATCGTCTCCTTTTTCTGCACCTAGCCAGAAGACGTTAGCCAAGCATAGCTAGCCGTTATCATCATAATAGATCAATCATTTTGATGCGCTTAGCTGTCGACGTGTATTTATGTTTCTCTAAAGACCGTTGCTTAATTGTTGTGTTATTCTTATTGTAGGCTGTTTCACAACCGGACGTCAGGGTTGTTTGGTGTTTGTCAGCACTGTTCGCGGAAGCTAACGGCGTAACGTTAGCTTTGTATACACGCGAAATTCATTGATTGTTTTCAGAACGATTATAGATGTTTGCTGCCGTCGCTTTGTGTGGAAGATCGTGTTTTTTCAGCTGAGATAAGCTTTTTAGCTGTTAGCTTTCCTGTTTTAAGTGGAGAAGTGTTAAAGGAATTACGTCGCTCTTCTCGCCTTGTTTTGGATTCACGTCCACTTTCGTTTTTAAGTACTTGTTGTGGGTCGCTTTCGCTTTCATGCCGACTGTCGTCAAAGTCAGCAGTTTTCCTTTTTCTCTCTCTCTCTATTTCTCCGTTTCTATTCATCTCCGCGGGTCTATCAAACTGTTCCGTAACTCTGCTTAAACTTATTTTTCTAAAGGCTTAGGCCTTTAGTGATAAAAACTTGGCTCCTGTGTGTTTGCTGCATCATTGCATGCTGACATCATCAAGAAGCTGCACCGTCTCTGAAACCGAGCTACTCCGAGCAGAAATTATCCAGGAGGGTGTGGGGAATATGTCAAATAGCTTTACTGAAACACTCATATCGTTCCTGGAAGTCAGCTCTGCTGGCACTTCCTTTAACAAAGGCATTCAAGTCAGTGTGAGATATTTCTTTGTAAATGTGCAGAATTAAAGTTTCTTTTTGATAAATTCTTTTTCAGCCTCGCATTCAAAGCCACAGGCCAGGAACTTAGTGTACACAATGTTATGTACATGTTATGGAAATCACAATCAAATTGCATTTTTTGGGGGGTAGATCTTTTGTAGACTATTACAGATCTGACTCCTTCTTTATTGTTCAGTGTTGGTAATTGAAGAGGACCTACCTTCCAAGTACATTCATCCCTGGTGTTAAATCAAAATCATGTAATTCCAGTGTCAAGTGCCCAAGGGTAATATGAAGCACCAGCACAAAATTGCATGCAATATGTGAACAAACTGATTTTGAATGCTAAAAACCTCTCGTTGTCTTCAGGAGTTTTCTGATGTCAACCTCTGGCGGGGCTTTCTTCTTTTGTGAAACTGTGGTTTAAAAAGACCATTGACTGTTAGGAGAATTCTACTTACAGACATTAAATGCCTTATGAATGAATAGAACAAGTTGTTAGTGTAGACTGTTTGTTGGATAATATAGAAAATATTTATTTTTTAATATGATAATAAATCTAATATAGTTTCTTCACACAAATATAAGATATTTAAAGAAGTTCTTCATGTATCCCCCAGGTCTTCTATCTGCCTCAGAATATGGCCTGTGTAGGTATGGATTCCCCAGCAGTGGATGATGACATTTGCATCCTTAAACATGAGACAGCCTACACCACTGCTGCTGAGAGTCCTGTGTCGGTGTGTGCCGGTGACGAATCGGTCGCCTCCCACTTTGCCCTGGTCACGGCATACGAGGACATCAAAAAGAGGCTGAGAGAGACAGAGCGAGACAATGCCCTGCTGAAGAAGAGAGTGAAGCAGCTTGAAGACAAGGTATAGATGGAAGAGTAGAGTAGGAAAGAATAGGAGGATGGCACAACAAAGGGAAGATGGGGATAGAAAAGAGAGAGACAAAATTTAAGAACATAGAGCTTATCATGCTGTCTAAACAACCAGAGAGCAATGTTTACAAAGGGTGACCTATGAACAAAGATGAATGATTTTTCTATTGTGCATGACTTCAGAATGATGGACAAACACAAAATACTAATACCTCACTGCAAACAAAAAAAAAAAAGGAAAAATAACCTCTTGGAGTGTATGCATGTCAGCATCATTAATATTGTTGGTCTGTTGTCAAAACAGAAAAAAACCCAGCAATGAGAAATAAATGTGCTCTGTTTAAAAAAGAAAGGAGGTCTGGAGAAGTGTGTCTTTGGCAAACACTGTGCTCATATTCAGCAGAGAAGAAGGCTCTTGAAATTGGAATTAAGAACAAAGGATCCAGTAAACGGATATAGTGAGAGAGAGAGTTATTTGAACAGCAAAGGTCTTAATACCGATTGCAGACCGAAGCGAAAGTTGGGCACAACATGTGGGCAGAGCACGAGCTTGTTTGTTTAAAATCTGTCAGTTTTAGTTTTCATGTGCTGCAGCACTTGGTCCATCAAGATAGGATGTGGTGGGAGGAAAGTGACTTCCTACCGCAAGATTTTAAATTGAACAGTTTTTTTCTCTCCTCTACTTTCTTCTCTGTTATTTCTTCTTTCACCACTGTAGCTTTTCAGGCCAGATGCTCATTCATCAGAGGGGCCCCAGTACGTGAACAAGGCCTTCAGTGCTTACCGAGGTATCTATATAGAGAAGGAGGACCTGCAGATGGAGCTTAACAAACTGGTGCGTTTTACTGATTAATCTGAACATCTCATAAACTAACAGTGCAGCCAAGCTTAAAGGCTTAATGTCTTCCAAACCTGACAGTAGCTTATTTTCAAGTATAAGGATAATAAAGAGAGTTTGGTTTTTTTTGCCCACCTGGGACGGCAAAAGTAAGAGTTTGAAACATTGTTTTAAATACACTGACTCTACCTTCATGCTCTTTGGCTCACTGTCTGTTTTGGTTTTTTTGCTTTTTTTCCTCTGTCAGAAAAGGGAGACGAGTGAGAGAGAAAGGATTCTGATGGAGCAGCTTCACACCAAAGAGGTGGAGCTGCTTCAGCTGAGGACAGAAATGGACACCAGCCAAGGTACAGGTAGAGTACACAGGCCTGCTGTCTCTAAACTGCTCAGTGGAAATGGTTCTGTCCTTTGATGAAACAGATAGTGGACATTTAGAGCACATGAGATTTGGATGAAATACTAGGAAAAGAATCCTGTTCCTGAATTTTAATGATATTAAATTCAAGGACTGAAATTGTTTGATAATTAGCTATGTCGGACAATCGAAGTAATAATCTACTCTAAAATATCTCCATCCATCTATTTTCATGAGTTAAGCCATGGTAGCAGTAGAGTATTTGAGCTAGTTCAGACGTCCCTCTCTCCCACATGTTTTCAGACCATAGAAGCTATATAATCTCTTCTATGAGCTCTTGGTCTACCTTGGGATCACCTACTAGTTGGGTGTGCCCGTTATACCTCCAAGCGACAACCTGATGAGAAGTTTGAAAAATCTCAGGTGGCACCTGTTTGGAGTAGAGTTACAGATACTCCAGTCTGTTCTCGATCTGGATGTCTCACCTGCTTAACCAGCCACCCTTCAGAGGAAAGCAACTTCTCTTATTCCGTAACGGAAGCTTGCGGCCATTAAAGCGCGTTAACAGTCATTCATATTCCAGCATCCCCTGAATTACATCTGACACAGCACCAGCCCTTCTGTCAATCCATTTTATGCTCAGTCATGAACATGGCACGATTCTCAGATTCTTTACTCAAACACCAGTTGTTTTGGTAGCCTCTTATCCTACCCACTTCACACTGAAAACCATTGCAGGCAATGTTGAAGGTCTGACGAAACCAGCAAAATCGTATCATTTTCAAATAACGAGAACTAATTGTAATAACCCAAAGGGTACACTTACATCCTCCTAGAGCTGAGAGGACCCCTTGACATCCAGAATGTGATTAGTAACAGAGTAACAATTACATTTATTTCAACACTTTTATCTAATACAGCACTGGAAGAATAAATAGTGTCATATAGTCAGTAGGGGAAAAAAATCCAGCAACCTGATTTATATGATATGATAACATTTTTATGTTGCAATACTCTTAAGTACATTTGGCTTTTTTGTGGTTATATATAACATATATGTTGATTCAAGTACAATTTAAATACAGGACAGGCTCGAGTATTTTGACTCATGTGCCATTCTCCTTTACTTCCATACTACCTATGATTTTCTATGAAAATGTAAAATGTTGCTCTATGATTAAACTGATGTTGAAATATTTGGTTGGTAAAAGTGTAAAAGTCAGTGTCTTTAATCAATTATGGCTTTTGTACCATTTGTAACACAAATTCCATCTGTTTTTCTGCGTGCTTGTCCACAGTGATGAAGAGCCTGAACAGCTCTCAGGACTCCTGGCAGGTGGAAAGGATCAACACTGAGCTAAAGATCCACAAACTGCAGGAAGAGCTGGAGAGGGTGACACTGGAGAACAATCGGCTACTAGAGAGAAGTGCGGTGAGTGAAACAGGGAAGAAGGAGTTTCAGAAAACAGGATAGAGGGGGGGGCTTGAGATGAGAGACGCTCTTGTCGCATAACAAAAGGAGGAGAAATCGGTAGAGGTGTTAGGGCAGAGAGAGACAGGGTGACACTGGGAAACAGTAGTGAAGACGAGGCCAGGGTGGGTATGCTACAGTTGGGAGATGAACTCTTAAAAGACAGACGGACATAAGTGTGAGTTGTTGTGGAGTGGAGGATGCAGATTTGTTTGGTTTTTTGGGGGGAGAGTTGTCAGAAACAACCAAGAGACTGCACCTCCACTCTCTGTTTTGCATAACTTAACTCTGTTTTAGGGGGAGCCGCATGGCCTTAACGGACCAGACTTGGACCAGACCTGTGATGCAAAGTATAATGCAAGGTATAGTGTTTTATGAATATCATTAAAAAGTGCCCAACCATAACTTCTGTAACCTGTAGTTACAAAGCAACTGTAAAAAGATGGGAAGTCTTGCCTAAAGCACAGTCTTATGCAAAAAATCAGTTTTAAATGATCCGCCCTGATGAAACTACAGAGAATCAGGTAGGAACACTGTTTACACGAAACTACAGAATATACTGTTTTTATGTCTTTGCTTTGAAAGCTAAAGCTTGTGAATGCAGTGCTCTGTATGGCCACAGTTTCAATTGTACTTGTCCTGTTTGGCCACTAGAGGAGGGTGCAGCGTTATGAATCTGCTCATCATAGACTGTATGCATGTCTGCAGTATGATGTGGAGGTAACCTCAAAAGTATATGAAGAGTTAGACCCTAAACTTGGGTGCTCAACACAAGTCAAATTTAAGACCAGAATTTTGACATGCATAACATCTGTATGGAATTTATTTATTAACATTTATTAAAAGAGAAAATTTTATAATTTGTCTACCTTTTTAATTATTTTAAGCACCACAAAAACCTGTTTTTCCGCCATAGGCTTTCTGTTCATGTTTTTTGCTGTGTGATACGCTATATGAAGCGGGTGTTAGGACTCAAAACAAGTGCTGATAGATTTTGCATCTTTATAAAAGGTGTGGATAAGACTGTTTTGTAGGTGTTGCCATCCTTAAATACATCACTGTTTTTATTTATTTTTTCTTCTTGTTTGCAATACAGATAATGTTATTGGCTGATTAAGCATCAAATCAACCAGTACTGTCTGAAGCAGTTTTGTTGTTGTTTTTTCTCTTAAGTATTGTCTGACTGTAGTCACTGATATTAATTGTGTCAGCAAAGAAGCACATGATCACCTTGGTATGTCTATAATTTATTTAATAGATTAATCTTATATGTACATTTAATCCACTAATTTTGACTAAAATTGACATGATGGGTGCCATTTGAACATTGTGAAATTTCAGTGAACAGGTGAATTTGACTTCAGAATAAGATTCTTCTAAAATATTTCCTTTTCCTGAGCGTACTCTATAGCTGCTCATGATATTTACCACAAGATCCTGTCTGACAGTTGGGTGTTTCTAACACCAGCTTTGAGGAAACTTGCATTTAAGTGAAATGCTTTGTTTATTGTGTAGGGAGAAGAGCATGCAGCAGACATACAAAGCTCTGTGTTCTGAGGTCGGCCGTCTCCATTCAGAGCTGAAGCACCAAACAGGCCTGATTAGGAAACTCAGGCCACTGATCAGTGAGACGCGACAAGGTGAGGCACATCTGCAGAAATGTGAGTGAGCTCAGGATTGCGCCACAGTTGGTGTCTGAATACAAATCATCCCATGCTTAATATTTGTTTTAGTGCGTGTGATAATCAACTGTGCTCCACTGTGTCCTTTATCACCTCAGCTCCTGTACAGTGAGGAGTCTCCTTTATAGCATTAATGCATTGTCGTGTAGGTCACCACCTAAATGAACCTCCTAAAAGCAACCATACAAAATGTATTCAGTCTCTTCATGTCTTTACCCTAAAAATAATTGACATTTATATCATTCCCTTTAGAAACCAGATAATATTTTTGTTTGTTTTATTTGACATTTTCTTGAATGTTTATCCTGTTCTTATCATATTTCATTTTTTCCCAATATTTATATATTTTATTTAAGCTTTTGCATTTGATCTGCTTTACATCTGATTTAACCTCAGTGTGTTTTTCATTCTTTTCCCCATGCCCATTATATTAGCAAAGCAGAGTCCACTTCCCATAGAGGGCTCTTAAAAAGAAAAACTCAAACCCTACGTTGTTGTTGTTGTACGTCACATCTGCACACACATGCAGGTCTTACCGAAGCCCCTAAAAAAAGCTTGCAACTTATTAAAGAAGCGAGGACAAATGATGAAAGATTAAGAAAACAAATTGCAACAATTGTATGTAGATGTAACTACAGAGTTAATTAATAGAGAGACAAACACATTTAGCTGATCTAACACTGTTAATGAGCACTTGAAGTAATTACAACAGGGAAACTAATGAACTGCTTCTGTTCAGTAACGGGAGTGTTTTTTTCCCCCTCCCAAGAAGTTTTCTCCTCCTGCTTCTTTTTGCAGTTTGTATAAGAGTGTGATAAGACTGTGGATATGATCAAAGTCCTCCAACACTTTGATAAAGGACATCATGAAATGGTCTATCCTTCCATTCCCCTCCCTCTGTGATGATGTATGCTACCCTAGGAGGGATTACCTCTGTTGTCGATTCCCTCGGAGTGTCAGAAGAGGAGACCAGGAGGTGAAAATTAGAACGAAATATGGCAAGAAAATAAATCTTGCCCTATTTATTCCACTGAATAAGAGGGTAATCCTGTAACTTAGATGAAGCAGATGGAGTGAAATGAGGAAAGCAGGAGCGGCAAAAGAAATGGAGCGGGGCAGAGGGAGGAGGGGGGTGTGCTATGTATTTATTCAGTCATACTGTGTATCTGTATTCTTCTAATGTTCCTCCTTTGGAATCACTTTTATTCAAATCCTAGACTCAGGAGACCATCTCATGGAAGCATAGCAGGGAGGGATGGATGGATAGATGTGTGGATGGAGAGAGGTATGGAAAAAAAAAAAGCAGGAGCAGATACTCTCATTTAAACTTTATTATTCGCTCAAGATGATGATTTGAAAGCAAAGCAATGATGTGTCTGTGTGAGATTAGGACATGTGATTTGTGTAAGGATTTGCTTTGTATGAAATGAAAGAAAATGTGTTTGTGCGTTCAGGTCTGATTAGGTTTTGTTCTCGAGGACAAAATCTAATTATTGCTTTTGTTATTTACTGATTCCCAAGCGGTGACTTTTACATGGTGCAAAGGTTTCATTGTGGAACTTGCCGCCCGCTGCTCAGGGTGCGATTTTTACTCCGGTTCTGTTTTGACACTGAGGTCTATTATACAGTTAGAGATCAGAGCTTAGATTTTTTTTTTAACCGCTTTAGAAACCAAAGTTTAATCCACTTGTTAAAAAAAAGAAAAGAAATACAGAGTTGTTATCTCAGTGCTAAATAAAAAAATTTTAAAAAAAAAGACGTGTTTAGCTGGGTGAGGAAAGAGCATTTCATTTGTGCTGCCGACATCATTTAGTTAAAATGACAGAAAACACACTATTTTTATTTGCTAGAGAAATTCATTAAGTCAAACACCTTTACTGTCTAGTAAAACACTGCTAATAAGTGCAATATTTTTTTTTTTTAAGTTTCCAGATTTACTAAAATAAACCATCTTGGAGTCATGCAGGGTTTTGCAAAGTTATAGCATTCTGCCAAAATTAAGATCTGTCAGATTGATCAATCTTTATTTAATATTTCCAACGTCATGAAAGGCTCACCATTCTAAATATTTAGAACCGTTGGTCTAAGTGACATATCGCATGTAAACATGTCTAATGTGAAGGCCGGCAGCATTTGTTTATTCGTTATGTAAGGATTTCAGTACTTGGCAGTGATGACTGAAAGCTAGTAGTGTCACTAAATCAACAGTGAAATTTGTTAAGTATCACCAAAATGATAGAAAAGGTAACTGAACAATTGCCTCTAATATTTGTGCTTCTTTTACGGACATTGCCACAGTCCATGCAGTGATTGTCTGTGCAGGTCTCACTAGAAAAATGCAGTTTTGTGCAACCACATCTAACGTTTGATTGTCTTTTACCCTCGTTTTTCCTCATCCTTTTTTTTTTTTGCTCTCACCCTCCTCTCTTCCTGCAGCTGCCTCAACAGTTCCCGTCCAGTGTCTGGACGACGTGGAAAAGAACAACCACCCCCCAGTTCCTCGGCCATCAGTGCCTCGTCCCCCCAGTGCCCCCCCACTGCCCTCATGCTCTGGCCGCCCCTGCCCCCCCACCGGCTGCCCGTCAGGCACCCTGCTGCCAGATAGTCTGAGGGAGGACTGCTGGTACAACGGCCCATGGCCCCCCCAGAGTTGTTCGGGAGAGGGTCTGGTTGGGAGCGACGCCTGCTCCGTTGTACTGCCCCCACCTCCCCTGAACCAGGCCTCTCTGGATGACAGTTCACGATCCTTCCCCAGTCCCCCAAAACCCAGTGACGCCATGTTCTGGGAGGGACACTCCGCTGCGTCCAACTCCTCGTCCTCAATGGGTAACTGCAGCCCCAGGAGCCCTCCCCATACAGATTGGGCCAAGCCTTATTAAGTTAGAGTGGGAGAACAGATGATTAATAATTTATTGGAAGATAAATAAAAGGTAGAAATTTGATGGAACGTAAACAAATGGAACAATGAATAAACTCTCCAACCCTGCCACATAGCTACCACCTTACCTGCCTTAATGTGATAAGACCACTTTTGTGGGGCGGATGAGACTGGACCTCCTGGTTGTGGGAACTAAACGAGGCCAGATGAGGCCTTTTTCTTTTTTTCTGAGGTAAAGACTTTAAACTCATTAATCTGCCATCTCTGCTCACCGCATCGGTGAACATTTCTGACTTTGCAGAGAAAAAGTTGATGAGAAATCCTCAACAGAATAGTTTGTCCATGTTTGTGTCCTTGTATGCGCATGCATAACTGTGTGCAAGTATGCATACAAGCAGTTTAATTTGTGTGTGAGCACATGCGCGTGCGTGCATGTGTGTGTGTGTATATTCACATCCAACAGTGTGCCTGTATCTGTATCTCATCATAGGGCCTCTTCCACCATAAACTGTGGCTGTTGATCACTGGAGCCACAGCATAGTGCTAGAATTTGTATAACTGTACTTCCTCCAATGCAAGTCTTTTTACATTTGATCACTGTAAATTACAGAAGGTATGTAGTTCCATGTTTGTCTAATGGTCATGTGAAGGAGATGTGTTGGTAGGAGGAGTTGATGTGTTTGTTTTTGTACGGTGAAGACAGACATACATACATACACTGACTGTAGGATAATTACAGGTTTTGGCTCCAAATTTGAAATGCTAATTAAGTTTTCTTTTTACTGAAGTGGATTGATATCAAAGTAATCTACCCATGCTTACTGAATCCTCCTTTCCTTTTTTGGTTTCTTTTGGAATTTGCCTACTTAGAAATTTCTAAACATATAAAATCTTAATCGAATGCTTTCTTAACTATGACCCATCATAGGTGGCAGAGAAGGTTCAATAATTTCTCATAACCTTCACAACTCAAGTCTGTCTGGTATCTGACAACACCATCTATTGTGTTGCTTTCTTTTTTCACCTCTGAAGTGACATGTAGATGTAAGGCTGTGAATTGCTGGTTTCTTAGCACGCCATTTATTTTGAAGGACTCGCGGAATGCGCCGCATACACTAGGCACATCATTTTGAACATTAGAAAATGTGAACTATGCACTGTGCTGATTGTTAATCCTGCTGTTTAGGACTGAGGGTAGTCTCTCTCTGGTCTCCCAGTAGTGAAAAAGTATAAACTAAGGGCACTGAAGAATTTTAGACCAAATAAACAGAAGAAACTGAGAGAAAAATGTGCATATCTGTATAAATGTATATGGTGGGCTTCAGTACTCTGCCAAACATGGTTATACACTCCAAAACTTAGCTTTTGCTTTTTCTCCCTCAAGATGCCTGATATGTCTAAGAGCTACCTGTGCTGGGGGCAACACAATAATATAATAACCTGATTAAATATGAGATGTGACTTAACAAATAGGTGCACAAAGCACAAAGGCCCATGGGTAAGTTTCTTTGTTTTAGTTTTTTCTTATCTGTATCATGATTGTGGTCTTTTGTTCTTAATTTCTAAGAAATGTTATTTTACAGCAGTAGTTTCATACTTCTGTAAACAATTTGCAAACCAAAATGCAATGTACAGTAGATATGGATTATATTTTAGATTTACTGCACTTCCGGCTGTTTGTAAATATGATCGAATAAATGAATGAAAGGAATCAACACCGTGAGGTTGCGCTGTTTTCACTTCAAGCATGACGTTATGTGGTTTGTTAAAACTGAACACTGTACACAAAGCCACGATAATTAAATCATTTTTTTTAAGCTAAATATCTGAAAAGGGGACAGCAAGCCCTTCTCTGTACCACAAAGCCTAAATGATGAATTGACACATCCATGTTAAAAAAAAAAGTTTTGTTTTTCCTAAATTATCTTAAATTTTAAATCCTGATTCACAATTTCAAACGAAGTTTTAGTTTCTAGAAACAAAATTGTAGAGGGGGAAAATTGTTTAAAAAAAATAGAAAATTTTACACTATCAACCTTAATCCCAGGCTATTGTCATGTTAAACATGCTAATGTTTGTAATGATCTAATTTTATAATTTGTAATTTTGTAGCTTATTATTTAAAGCAGTAGTAATATAGGACAGCAACTCTTTCCATCTGTGCCATTAGTACATAAGCAGTTCTAGATCATACACAACACATACTTATGCTGGTTGCTAATGGTAAATTCAGTTCTTATTATAACCATAACAAAAAAAATTATTAATGCCAAAAAAAGTATGCATTTAGCTTAATTTAGCCACTGGAGGTAAAAGTCCTGAATGTGTAAAAGAACATAAACTGAGTCAGCTGTAGCTTTTTTTTCTTTTTACAATTTTTACAGTTCTGTTGATCCTGCTTTCGAATACACTAAATAAACAAATGAAATTTTCACTGTGCGACTCTTTAGTCCCACTGCTGAAAAATGCAAAACATCATAAAAACACATCTTTTAAGTCTGATGGAGTTAAGCAGATATTAAACAGAAACATTTCATGTTGACTGTCCTTTACACGTAAAATACACTTTTGCTTTCAAAATTTTTAATATTTGCAACAATCACATGATCACACAGGGTTTTATTATTACCTCCAAGTTATAGTGTACAAATCTCCATCTCTGATTTCCATTACTTTTTTTTTTTTTTTTAAATCAAATCCTTTGTAAGTTAATACACGACAACTTCTGCAGGTGAATTTCAAAGCTGTGGGTCCAGCCAAAGGCAACTGAGCAGATTCGTCACTCGTGCCGTCACTGCAGGAGCAATAGACATGTTCAAGTGGTTCAACAGGTGCAAAGCATCCCTCAGTTTACAGCTGCGCACCATGTGCTGCCCTGCACTGAAACTCTTCCAGGTGGCTACTATATCACAGTACAATCACATATTTGTGACATTCTGATCACTCTTTATGATCCAAATAATTTCACTCACCTTTTCCCCACGCATAAGCATGTAGCTTTACAAGAAATACAACCACTTGTCCATAGCACTGCCACGTAATCCTGCAGTTCTGGGCAGAGTTTAAGTCTGTGTACACTTCAAAAATAAAGCTAGTTGTGTTGTTATTTTACATGCTAGTCGGAAGTTTTTGTTTCATGTTCTTGGCTGGAATCCCCGTCCTCTCAAATTCCAGCTTCTCTCGAATGTACTCCTGCTTGCACTCTTCGAAAAACGCGGGGTCCTGGTAGCTGGTGGAACACAAAAGGTAGACCTTCATCACTCTGATAGGTTTTGAGATTTCTAAGACTTTACAGGCGGCAATTCAGAGAGTCAACAGGAGTGGGAGAGAGTAGGCAAGCGTGTGTAAAAGCTACTGGCGTGATTCTGTTATAACACATGGGGAGCCACCTTTCTATATGAGTGTTGTCGCACAATACTCACTGTCGTGTCAGACATTCCTTCAGGGCTGCGTTCTCCCCCCGACACTTCAACACCATGAGGAAACCAGACTCTTTACAGCAGTGGCTGAAGGCTGGAGGGAGGGGGAGAGGAGTGTAGAAGTCAGAAAGGACAAATCAACAAAAAAAAAAAAAAAAAAGGGAAACTGGCTCAATGCGTACAGTAACCTCAACGCAAAAATCACAATTAAGAGCCTACCTTTTTACCGCAAACAAGAAAACGAATAGCTACGAGCAAACCGAGATGGGTCCCATCTCCACGAGAAGGAACCCAGTCAGAAGTCACCCTGCCAAGCCTCTTATCAAACCGAAACCCATGTTTCCTTGTTCATACGAGGACTGAACTTAACCGTACTATCCACAGAGTGGTTATATCTGTGGTCGCACTGCTCCCACATTAGCCCTGTAACAGTCATCCCACCATCCTCAAATATACACACGTCTATGCCCCCAAGAATTAAATATAGGTAATGCTACACTGAACACGGTGCCCAGTGAGGCCTGGAGATAGACGAGGTTATTTACAATAACCGAACAAGTAAATGGAGCTTTTCCAGAAATCAGACTAGATATTATCAGAAATGTTAAACTTAAGAATTGCTGCTAATGGTTGCAGTTTTACTAGATACGTTCAACCTTTGCTGCCTTCCTTCTTCTCTGGCCAACATCAATTGCTGGTGCCTGTGCCCGAAAAATAAAACCGGAGCCCAAAACGAGAAGCCCTTCTTCTATAAAGATGCAACAGTGACTTCATGCCCCTGTTAGTGGTATTTTCCACATTAAAGGCACTGAACAAGGTGTCGACGAGTGAGTCTTCACCTTGTTAGCAAGCTCTTTCTCGAGGCTTTAATTAAAACCACTGCCCCTGTGTCCCCTTCAAACAGCTGACATCGTAATTACCTTCATCGGTATGGTTATCACACACTCTTTCACGAGGATGCAGACTAACTGCAAAACCAATTTAGAGAAGCAGAACTGTGCGACTAATCTAATCAAAGAGCGCCTCATCCCTGTCCCACGGCACTAATAGAGGCTGCGTTTCTGATCGCACATGAATAGTTAGGATAAGGAGACGAATCTACGAGACTGGTTTCATGCGAAAAGAGGCCCTTCTGAAGAAAAGTGTGATGCCACCTTCGCTTTGAGGTCGTTCGGTTTGCCATTTTTACAGACGCAGAAGTGGCAGTTAGTGGAAAGCAGAAGCATGAGGCTTGAACATTTCGGGAGATTTGGTACTTTAGAGGAAGATGTGGTGTAAAAAGACCTTATACATTATTAGTTATGGTAGAAAATAAATGTTAGGATATCGAGTAGGATTTATTCATTTCTAACCGACAAACTGAAAAATCCATTCATTCATTCATTTTTGTTTCCCCACCTTTCGTCCACATTTTTGATTTTGTGATCCGGACTTTAAATTTAAGGAATTCAATTAGCAGCCAATCGCTTTTCTGCAAAAACACAACAGTAATCAAAATGAACGTGTGGGGGTTGTTCAAAAACTTAAGACTCTGAAAGGCATGTGAGTCCTGACATGAATCATCAGCGTAGTAGGAAAACTCATCAGGTGAAACTACAAAAGGAGTTCTGTACAGGTCAGTGCTACATATCTGCGTGAACAACAAAGCCTACAATACACAACTGTGGGGTGTGCAGAGGCATATATGCAGATACCAATAACACAGGAAAACATACTTGTAGATTGTGTTGGGTCTTTTTTTTTTTTTTGGCACTGTCTTTGTAAAACACAATCACAGACGCACACACACACAGGAGCCCAGTAGTGCAGACACAAACAGACAGAATAGATGATTGAGGGCGGAGGATGAAGGTGTGAAAATGAGTGGGACGAGAAACTTGTAATGTGAGGGGGGTTTCCACTACCCACAGCCCAGCCATGTATGTCCCATCACCTCTGTCTGCCTCCTCGTGTGAGCAGTACACCCGAGCTCATAGAAGCTGTCATCAGATTTCTAAAAACCACATAAAACCGTGACTGTCGGGCTGATGTGTTGCTGCAGTAAACGGGGCACACTGGAGCAGAGGTGCAGCCAAGTGCGTGCGTGCATCTGTGTAGATAAAGAGGCAACTGCTGTAATGCCAATTAGCCTGCTACTCAATACCTGAAAGAAGAAGAAGTAGAAGGGTCTGATTCAAGAAGGTCAAGAGTAAAGTAAATTCCTGAGGAAGGAAAGATGCAGTGTTGCAACATGCAACGCCACATGCAGTCCCCATTTTGAAGACGTTTTAATAACGCTCTAAGTTTATGCTTCCATTCCTGAAGCCTCTCTTAGACTCTTTTCTATCAGTCTGATGGCGTCTAATTATTTTGCTGTCATGTTTCAATGAGCTCCCCGAGGCCTCAAATACAAAGCAACATACCCCTCTCATCTGGCTTTACTTAACATAAGCAACAAGGCTAAGTGGTCACGCAAAGGTGATTATTCTCCAAAGGTTGAGTCTGTTCATTGGGACGTAGCGTTTTCAGTGCGAGAAACGTTTCGTCACTCATCCAAGTGACTTCTTCAGTCTCAGCTGACTGCTGGTTTCCCCAATCTTATAAACAGTACATTTGCATAATGACTGAAACCAGCCCACTGAAGGAACAATGGGCTGGGAAGTCAGCAAAACGTTTCTCCCACTGAAAAGTCCAGATGAACAGAATAAACTTTCGGAGATTTACTTACCTGGATGATTGAGCATCCATCAAGACGAAGGTGATGATTGATATTAAGTCAGGGAGGAAAGCCAGGGTTTAACAATCTAGCTACGAGCGCATTCACACTAAAGGTGTGGTGCTGACAGCATCTGACCAATAAAAATGGGGAGCCTGACTAGCAGGTGAATAGCTGACTTTACAAAAGACAGGTTGTGTGGCTGTAGAAGAATTTTGACCCACTCTTCTTTGCAGAAATTTGAATTGAGCTTAAGAGCCAATCTTGACCCAACCAAAAACGTTTGTTTTTTGGATGCGCTGGTGTGTTTCAGATCTTTGTCCAAGTGTGCTTGAGCTTCAGGGGCACAAACTGAAGGCTTGGACAATCTCCTTTAAGATTTGTTAGAGAGCACAATTCATGACTCCATCAATCGCAGCAACTCATCCAGGTGCTAAAACAGCAGCAGGCGCAGACCATGTTCGACGGCTGGTACTTTTTATGAAACGATGTGTTCATTTTTACACCAAATATAACAGGGCTCAAAAAATTAAAAGGTGAATTATGTTTCACACAGGGCCAGGTAGGTTTGGATAGATTCCTTAACCATGTTACCACGGTGATGTACCCAAGTAAGGAATGATCGCCTTCATAAAACAGGAAACCCAATGTTAACCTTGAAGTTACATGAACCAGCCCAAATCATGCTTCATACAGATCAATTCTGTGTAAACAATGAAACAACAATGCCCCATGTCTTCTGTGCATACTGCTGAGTTGCTAAGCTAACCACTGTATAACATGAACAGCATTACCTACAACATTTTACCTCACCCTCAGTGTTTGCAATGACATCAATTCATTTCTCTAAAAGATTGATAGATTGTGTTCACATTAAAGCAGGGGTGTCAAACTCATTTTACACAAGGGCCACATACAGCTCACTTTGATCTTAAGTGGACCGGACAGGTGAAACTCCCTTTTCTATCAGTGCAAAGAAACTACATATTTAAATGTTTTTCTACATGATAAAGAAAAGGCTGCTGTGACATGCTGTCAGTATGAGTCTTTGGACTTAAATTGTAAGAAATAAATGTGTAAATTACATAAATGTTTCTGTTTTTCAAAAGGTTATCATTTGTAAATAGCAGGAGTTGGGCTTTCTTGTCAGGGGTCATTTTTGGGGGGGGGGAAAAAAACCCAAAACAGTGGCAAACAGCGCTGTACGCAATGGCAGACTGGTGCCTTATTAGCAAGGAAATAAAGCAGAAAGTAGAGACTTCTGATGGGAAACTAGTCTTGAAGCACACAGAGAGATAGAGCTGTGCAGGAAGTGCGATTTTATCGTGGTGGAAGCAAGACGGCAAAAGTAAGTGAGGATTCATTAAAGTGTTTCTTTAAACATGAAGTAGGATTTTGGTCTGTTTTGCTGCTGGTCAGCTGAATTTTGTTCGGAGAGTGATGAAACCTGCGGGTTCTGGAATCTGGGAGATGTTGGCTTTCAGCACCTGACGGCATGTCCACGTACATGTCGTCGGGTGAACGGGGGGATTCACCCTTTGGTTTTACATCTTTTTGCGGAATCTGTTTACCTGCTGTTTAATCGTTTACTATTTTAGCTGTTTGGTGATTGTTGAAATTGTTTTGTAAGCTTTTAGCTGAGATTTTAACATTTCTGTGGATACCACACAGGTCTACATTAAAATAACAGATCTGGTGGCAAATCCCATTAAAGCAGATGCTCTCCTTCTTGCCTCTGTTACTGGGATTGCATTGCAGTTTAAGAGGTTAATTGTTTATTGCCTATTACTTTTTGTAGTATGAATGGCCATAAGGGAGGTTTTTATCAGTATGAAAAGCTGTAAAACGTTTGAAAATACAATTAAAAGTCCAAAATTCCTGCTTGTGCTTGATTGCGGTGAGCAGCAGATCAAACAAGTTAAGAATTATGAAGGGCTTCAAGCGCACATTCAGGCCTGCGAGACACTCCGTGTCTGCATCACTGAAATGCAGCCAGATGCTGCTCACTTCATGTTTTCACTCCTTTCTTCACTTTTTCCTGACATGCTTGCATTTAAATCCAGCTTCCCTGTGTCTCTGTATACCTGGCATGAACCACTACACTTTCATATAACACTATGATCCCAATCTGCCTTTGCGTGTGACTGGCTGCATGGTTTGTCCAACAAAATAAAGTCTCTCTTGACATATAAAATTGTGTTGTGGGCCATATGTTTGACAACCCTGCATTAAAAGACAAATTAAGAAAAGCAATGTTACACCCTTCCCTCTTTCCAAGTATTGTAAATTTGCCATTGGTGTGAATGTATCTCTCTGTGCTAACCCTCTAAAAGACTGGTGACCTACAGATGGTATAACTGGGCTCTCACGCAGTGACAGCTGGGATATGCTCCAGCCTTAAAAAAAAAAAGAAGAAGAAACAGAAAAGGTTTGTTGAAGTGATGGATGTACAAGACACTAAGCTAATTAGCCTGTCAATGGCATGTACTCAAGTCAGTGGTCAGTTATCATTGTGTTTTGTTTTGTTTTTTACTTTGGTTTTGATAGAACTTGAGATATTTTAGGTACCAATGATCACTGTGCAACTGAATCACTGTAGTGTCACCATGAACCAGGATATACCCAGGGCCTGAAGATAAAGCAGCTACCAGTACATCCATTGGTTACAATACATTTTTATTTTAACCTATACCTTTCCAACTGTGGCAAATCAAAATAATTTAGGAAAAAACAAAACAAAGTAGACAAGTTAGACTGAATTACTTCCATTTCCATCTTACTGCCAATTGTGAAAATAGGCAAATGTTGATGTTCGCCCTCGTTTTTGTTGACTAGCATCACAGCGTGTTAGTTAGCAACTTGAATTTTCAAACTTTTCTAGTCAATCCCAATCAAAGCTCCTGGTACTCTGGTTCTTACTGAAGACCAAAGAAAAGTCTCTTTGAGGCACAGATTTAACCAAGATCTCTGCTTTTTTAAAACTAAAAACAGTTTGACATAAGGTAGTGGACAAACACACGTTTTAATGATGGCTGCTTTCCATTTGGGTTCAGTTGTATGCTGGTTCACTCTAATGGCTTACTGGAACAATTAGGTGAACTGGCATGTTTCTTGACTGTGACGGTTCAAAACAGCCTCCTTAAAAAGTGACCCTGCTGTGTAAAGTCGATTCCTGAGCGACACTTTAGTGGACAGGAGAAAATCCCACCTTCAACCTTGTCAGCACAGAGCTCCTTGGCTTTCTCCCTCATCTTCTTGGGGATCAGCACATCCTTCTCCACATGCCTCAGCTGGGCTTCCTCTGACACGGCAGAGCAAAGCAAATATGAGTATCACAAGTAAGCATCGCAATAAGCATCAACCGCATCAAGCCTACTGAATATGCTTTCTGTTAATTATCATAGGTGTACGTGGGAGACATGCGTGCTCGTGCTCAACTGTCGTTAAACGCGGATTACCGCACGCAGCTAAAGGCGAGGCATGTTTAGGACCATTATTAACTGAGACGCTGGACACAGAAGTTCTCATTTGTGAGTAATTAACTCAGCATTTTCCTTTAGAGTGGCGACAGCCTCTTTAAGTGTATTTAGCTAACGTTATTATAGCGTCTCAGGTCCATTACAGTTCAATACAGCCAATAAAGAACGAGCTAACTCGGACAGCTTTGAAATACACGAAAAGCATTTGAGAGCATTACGGACTTTAATACCTGTATTTGTTGCCTCCATTGTGATGATTTTTCTTAAAACATTACCCCCACTGATTCAATGTGACCTAGCTCGCGAACGCTCAAAACACTTCCGCTGACGTAGTATGGTGGCCTGAATAACTGCAATTCCCAGAGTCACCCTCGGCGTCGGAGAACGAGCGGAGAAGCAGGAGGCTACAGGTGACCGAGTGATGCTTACTGTCAGAGCTGGTGGTTTAGCTCCACGCTCATTTCTGTGGAAGACTGAGGAAAAGGATTTCTTATGTTTTATCATATTAAAGAGACAGTCTCAGTTACAGCCTTTATTATTAGAAATATCTCTTATTCACTAATGCGATTCAGGGAATACTACTAATGTTAATAATATTAACTGTGATTAATTGTGATTGCACCAGCCACAGTAAGTTGCCGGTCTAGATGGGAGGTGGAATCAAAACCCTTAAACAAGAAGAAAACAGAACTATATACATTTAGAGCTTCAAAACACTTCTTTTTCTGTTTTTTTCTTTCTTTTGGTTATAAATGATGAAATGACAGCTTTTACGTTCTCTGTTTTTTCACAAATTGAAGTTATTGGGAGTGTGAAGCTCCCTGTAAGTGCTCTTTGTAAACAACGGTGTGCAAGTTAAATCATGCAGAAAAAACATTTATTTATGTTATGTGCTGATTTTTAGGAATTAATCATATGATGATATTAAATGTTTACATTTTACAACTAATTACATAATTAACATTTTGCACTGTAAAAACAAATTTCACTTTCTTTTATACCCTAATGCAACCACTGATCATACACATTAAAACTCCATAAGCCTGTCAAACATACAGTAAGTTTTTACATTTCTAAACATATTAAATATAATTTGGTCCTTAACAGGTCTTAAATGAGGTAAATACAACCCCAGATGAACTACAACACGTAGCATATTACACTGTGTCATTATTTATTTAACAAAAATTGAAACAAAATTAAGATGCAGTCGCTTCTTTTTTCCTGTGAAACCCTTACTGCCTCCATGGAGGGTAATTAAATGCACTTCACTAACTGATCATAAACAAGCACAAGCACGTCTTTTAACAGCAGTTTTGGCAGTTTTTTTTCGCCAGGTGTGTTTTCACACATTAGAAAGGAGAAAAGATATCGGTAATGATTTTAGTAACAGTTATTGCTCATAAATCTGGGAAGGGTTATAAGGCTGTTTCTAATCATCTGTCCTTCACTCTGCAGTGAGAAAGATTACTCACAAGTGGAAAACACTATCTTCTCAGATATAGATGTCCCAGCAAATTCATCCCAAGATCACACAATGCAATCCTGAGAGAAACTGCAAAAAAAACAAAAACCCAAGAGCAAGAGCTATATCTCAGACTCTATAGTCCCCAGTCAGCATGCTAAATGTTAAAGTTCATGACAGTACAATTAAAAAAGACTGAACAAGTGTGGTTTGTTTTGAAGGCTTGCCAGGAGAAAGCCGCTTCTCTCTAAAAATAACATGGCAGCGCAGTTTGACTTTTCAAAATTGCATCTGAACAAACCACAACAATGCCCTTTGGACAGAAAAAGTGGAGTTGTTTGGCCGTAATGCACACTACCATGTTTGGTGAAAACCATATACAACACAACAGCACTAACACCTCATACCAACTGTCAGCATGGTGGTGGAGGGTGATGATTTAAGCTTGTTTTGTAGTCACCCGGGCACCTTGCAGTCACTGAGTCAAGCAGGAACTCCTCTGCATACCAAAGTATACCAAAAACTCAAATCTGAGGTCATCTGCCTGACAGTGAAAACTTAGCCAAAATTAATTCATGCAACAGAAAAATGATTGCAAGCACATCAGCAAATCTATTACAGACTAGTTGAAAAAGAAAAGAATCAAGATGTTGCCAGATTGAAATGCTGTGCATAAGCAAATGCTGGCAAACATCAGTGAACCGCAGCAAGGTTGTAAAGAAAAATGGACCAAAATTTCCCCGCAGTGAAGTGAGAGACAGAGAAAGTCATATAGAAAACATATTTCCAGTTATTCCTGCTGAAAGTGTTACTACGAGAATTTGAATCATGGAGTGTGTTTAGTTTTTTTTACACACTGATTCTATAGTTTGGCTTACTTTTTGTTGAAAAAGCATGGCACTGTGCAATATGTATAAAAATGGCCTAGTTTCTTTTAACCTGCCTGTATAGTGGTGTCTTTTTTTTCTCTTCATGTGTCTAATCTCCTTTTTTGGATCACACAAACAAAAGACTTTTACAGGGATGTCATTGCAATGACCATTTTCAGAGTAACACCTGTACTTCCCCTGGTTGGCAGTCCAACGTGTCAACTTTGAAAAGGGCGTATTCAGTTTTAATAAATGATTATGAAATAACTGCAGAAACACCTTCAGATAAACGTCCCAGTTTGTCTGATGACTGTCTTCCAAGTAAAGTAGGTTAAGAGGCCGAAGCTGTAAAAATCGCACTATTATGTAAGCTATGTTGCATCAAATACAATTACATTGTTAGTTTTGTGTGTTTTAACTGCCAGGGCTTTTTTCTGTACTCTCAAACTATGTACGGTGGCTACACATTTTTAATGCAAGCAGTAAGACTTGTTTTTAAAACAATATTTGTACCATGTGGCAATTGTGAAATAAAATCATAGCAAAATCATCGAAAAACGACTCCTGAAAGTCAGCATCCAACCACAGTGTATCTGTACCTGAACCACAGCCTGTGTGTTGCGCACAGTAAGCCTGACCACAGTCAGCTGTGCGGCGGATCGGCTGTCTGGATCCCATGCAAAGAAGGCCCACCTGTTCAATCAAAGAAACAGGTACCCAGCTCACAGACATATACACACCTTTAAGAAAAAGACAATGTTCACACATACAGACTACGATAAGAAACAGGTGTGAACTACCCACCTCCACATCCAAACCACACAGACACACACCCAGTGCACCTTTACAGCTCACACTCACCCACACACCACCACCGCCAGAGGCGATATAGTGAATCTCTAGCCCGTCTGCCTGTAGTTCTCACGACTCTCTGACCTTACACCGGTAAAGCTGTCGCTTTCCTCTGTGGAGAAAAACAGCCTTTTCATCTAAAAATCAAAGACCAGAAAGAGCAAATCTATGATTTCTACAAGCACAAAAAACCCACTCCTTTAACAAAAAGAGACCACAGGCCATCACCTGTATGCACACGTGTACGTGCTCTTTATTTCATTTTCTTGAACCTTGAACTTAAATGAACAGATGGATATACACACCTCCAAGTCCAGACAGCACACTCTTCTGTTTCTACCCCTTCTGACACCAGGTGGGCATCTGCAGATTTTAATATCAGCAGAGCTCCTCCAATATGCAACATTCGCCAAATTTCCACAGCAGGGCCAAATGGGCCTCATACGAATGATTGCACAACCACTGAAGCAAATATGATAAAAATGATATTTTAATATCGCTTGAATTCTTGACAAATACAAGAGCTTTATGTGGTGCGTGTCATCCTGCAAAACTGTTTTGAAAAAAAAAAAAGTAATGTAAGTCTACAATATACAAATATTTGATATTTATGAGCACTCAACAGGTTTCTGGCCAAAATCTCTTTTTTCCCGTGATAAATCAGATATCTCTATGAAAGCTTGATTTTCACTGTAGAAACAAATATAAAACAATGTTTGTTTTTCATCTCTATACAGTGTGTGGTTGTTTTACTATGATCCTAGTGCTGGCTGTACTTAAACGGGCCAAGACCACATATGGTGCATACTTTGGATATTTCAGGTTGAGTGGTTTCCTTCTGACTCCATGTTTTTTTTTTTTAAATGTTACCAATAGTGGTTTGGCTGCATTCACTATTTAATACAAGGAAGGGAAAAGACAGCTAATGCAGAGGTGCTTAACGGTATTTCTTTTTCTTATAGGCTGTATTTAAAAAAAGAAAAGAAAAGTGGTATTGTGCCAAAAGTACCTACATACTTTTACAAATCTACTTCCTAATTTACTTTGTGAAAGAGTCCCTGGTTCCCCTTTTCTATCAGTGGGTTTTATTTTTTTTCTTGTGAAAAAAGCGGTTGTGGTAAAACACATGTACAAAGTACATATAATGTACTGTTTGTGGACTGGTTATACACTGGAACACTAACTTTAAGAGAACTCTTAATTACATGAAAAATATTTGTTGTCCTGGCTTCTACTTAACTCACTGTTATGGGCCCACATGTTTTTGTTCTGTTACGTGAGAGAGTATTTGTTGTCGGAGATGCCAACAAATCTTTCTTGATGTGGCTTAAACGCATATGAAATTCTACGTTCGAGGAATTTCAAAAATATGAAATATAAAAAAACATAGAAATTGAATCCTGAACAAGTCCAGTTGGCTCCATAGAGGAAAGCGCTACTACCCCAGGTAGCGTGCTGACTGATATGGCAGGGACATGGCCTCCCAACACTGATCCAATATTACCCAAACAGCAGGGCCCCATGAACCTGGCAGAAGGAGGTTAGCAAAGTTAAACCCTCTTACGACATGCCTCACTGCTCAGGGCCAACCACCAGCTCCTCCAACTGTCCACTGACGGCCACAAAACAAGGCCCCTGTCAGAGAATGTTAAAGGGTCATTGATCTGTAGAAAAGCAATTATTGATGTGTTTGAACTTTTTTTATTTGTGAAATGGAGCCATTTAACACATGGATATTAATGGAGGAGTGTAATGGCAACAAAGAATTTAATACTTTGACAGCAACAACAATCAGGAATGGTTCCAAATTCATTTAAGGGAGAATATAAATAATAACAATATAAACGTGAATACAATCACAAACCTATAACTAACTGTTATAGGAATTTTGATGTGCATATTTAAAAATCTGTATATGTATGTATGTATCTGTACATATATAGCGTGTTTTCCTAAAGTGTGCTCTTCTCTGCGGTGCAGAGCCACAGCAAGGAGTAGGAGGCGTGTTCTCATTTCCTCCGTCTGCTCGCCTGCTCTCATCTCCACTCCTTCGACTTCCAAGACATCGCTCAGCCGGCAGATGGGGTGTGGAGATGAGATTTTAGAGAGTGTTTAAGCCCAAGCCGCGGGGAGCCTCTTCAGGGTCGATAGAGAGC